CCTCGGTGATTTCAAAATAAATATTTTACTTGGTTGAAATATTTACCTGTGTCTGTGTCAATTGTGTCCAATACCTACCTCCGAGCGAGTCGATAGACGATCCATGCGGCAGCTGGCAGTCCTGGACAATCCATGATCCCGGGGAGAACCTGTAACAGAAAACCGAAAGATTAAATGGATAAGCGAGTGTAGAAATAGACTGTAGTACTCACGGAGAGGATGGCGAATCATCCGTGTCACCGGAAAAGGCTGACATCCGACGAGTAGCAGCGAACCGACCGACGCAGTGGATAACCTTGCTGTTGGCATAGGTGAAAACAGCTGGCGACCGTCGACCATAGCGAAAGCGCTGAAACCTGGAGGCCGGTGAGTCCAAGTTTGGTTCCTTCCATCTTTTTTTTTTGCGGGGGGGGGTCAAGCCCTCCCTAAGGTAAGGAATCTTCCAAAAGACACCCTCTGGCGTGCAATGGAAACATCCCTGCCAGAGGGTAGTGTTAAATTCGTCCGGAGGAGTGATCTGCGACACCACTGCTCCCCCGGACGCCTACCAACTAAATCCCACCCCCATTGCTGTGCCGTCAGCTGCCATATGGGGGGAGGCTGGGAATCGCTCAACAGCATACATCTAGTCTTCCCCCCTGGCGTGCCGGTTGCCCGGCTAATCAATATTGGTGGGGAGAACTAGGTTCTCCCCCCACCTTCCAACGCATCTTAAATCAGGGGCCAAGGCCCCCGTCGAATCATCAGCCATGGGCGGGACAAAGCGAACACACCCGCCTCAGTGGGTGTCGCTGGATGACCCCGCCCATAGGGGATCTACTCTCCCCCTTTCTGCTCCTTGGCCCCGGTTTACCCGGTGGTAATGGCCTTGGAGCATCAAGGGCGCGGACTTTGGGGGGCTTTCGGAGGGGAGGACTAGTCTCATCCCCTTTGGCCCCCCTAGGTCGCTTCTCAGCCGGGGTACGGGTGGGCCCAGCGGACCCATCCGACCCCTCCGACCTCAGAACTCTCCTAGAGCTGATCCCACTGGGACCAGGCTCTGGAGAGCTCTTCTTCCCCATCGTTCCCCTTTTTCCATCAGAGGCGGGGCCCGGGCCAAAAGGCGTGGATACCCCACTCCTTCCAGAGGGGGGAGCTAAGTTGCTCCTTTTTTTAGGAGGAGCTACAGGCGCAGGGGGGATCGGAGAACATTTCTCCGATCCCACCCTGTGGTCCGCCTTCTTTCCCGCGGTGGTGCACAGGGGGCAGCAAGCAGGACGCTCACACGTCGCCCCCTTGTGCCCCTTTTCGCCACATTGAAAACAGCAGAAGGTCCTATCCACTTTGGATAGACACCTCTGCTGTATATGTCCGCGCGCAAGGCAGCGGAAGCAGCGGGCCGGTCTGTTTGGCATCAGCTCGGCTCGTACGGAGGACGATCATCCGATGGTAATCCTCCCCGCCTCCGCTACCTTGACCATAGCCCTAGCAGGGCCCTGAGTCCACACCGTGCGCTTGCCCCTAATAGGCAAGCGCAACGGTCCCACATGGATCTCCGATTCGGAGCATCCGCCCTTGGCAGCTATTGCCTGGCGGATCCCCTCCTCGGAGACCGTCTCCTCCACTCCACTTAAACGGAGGTCCAGCCGTTTCGTGGGTCGCGTGACCCTAACCCCCTCGATGTTGTTCTTTTGAAGGGCCATTTGGATAGCGGAGGTCAGGCGACACGCCTGGGCCTCCGCATCCTGCCCTCCACCTGGTATCTCGACAAGGATACCTCCGTTCTGGGATCTTTTGGCGTCAACTTTGTTGACGCCCAATTCCTCCAGCACTATCTCCCGCTTCGCGGCAAGTAATGCCTCGGCCAGGTTACCCTGACCGACCAGCATTACCGCCGCGGAGCGAGGGAGGCGCTTCCGCGCCTTCTTCGCCAGGCCCTGTTTAGATGCATCCCCCTTGGGGGTCGCTCTCGACGGGACCTGGATCGCAGTGGTGGGAGGACTTGGTCCCACCCTTTTTTTTCTACCTTTATTCTTACCCCGGGCAACAATAGTCCAATTCTCGGACTCCACCGTTGCCGGAGCAGAGTTCCCTACCATGGGAGGGCACATAGAAATGGCGGGCGACCCCGGGGAGGGTTGGGAGATATTTCCATCCACCCGAGGGACCGCCACTCCAGTCCTCTTTTTCCCCTTCTTCCTCCCCCTACTACCCCGAGTTACCCCTCCAACGGAGGGCCGCCCCGGGGGGGCGGGAAGAGGGGAGGGGCCCGGAGGAGGGGGAGGCATCGCCACCCTCTCCTCCAGGCCCTTTAATCTATCGCCAAACCCGACGAACGTTCTGGCGATCTCCGTCAAGGTCGTCGCAAGGCCCCCTGACGAGGGGTGTGGGGCTCTTCCCTCACTCTTCACCACATTCATGACAGCCTCCCCAGCATTATCTATGCTTGGAGGAGCATTGTCATCCCCAGGGGAGGCGGGTCTTTCCCCAGCCAATAAGTTGGCCCGATCCGCCTCTATCTTCTTAACCCGACGCTGGAGGCGGCCATTCTCCGATTTGAGAGACTCCACCGCCCCCTTCAGCGCCTGGATCTGCTTCTTCATATAACCGGGATCTCCGCCCTCAGAGGCCCGCCCGGCTAGTGTCCGGACGACCTCCCTGAGGACGAAGACTCCAAACTTGAGCTTTCCATTTAGCTCCCCCTTCAGATTGCCCGCCCTCTGACGGACAGCCTCGATCGAGAGGAGCTCCTGGTCAATGCCTTGCAGCATCTCATCGGTAGAGCCCCTCTCGATCTTCCTGATGGTTTCTTCCGCCCTCCTCTTCTGGGGACCAGTGAAGGAGGGCGGAACTATTTCTGCAACGGGCTTCCCCATCGCGGAACCCCCTGCACCCGCCCGAGCAGCAGCGCCCTCAGACGCGCTACCGGCTGTGGAGGTGCTCACGTTCATCTCCGATCCATCGTCGGAATCGGAGTCCGACAAGATCAGGGGAGGCGCGGGCTTGAAAGGACCTGTTCCGTCCTTTCGCGGCCTCCCCTGTCCCCTACGTAGGGATCGGAATCGCACATCGGCCCGCGTCCTAGAACTAGGGCGCGGCAAGCCGGGATCAAATCCGGGGGAGGGGCTGCGGGCCCCTCTATTAGGGGACTCCCCCAACCCCTCTCCCAACAACTCCTGGAGAGGAAGACCCTCCACAATAGGAGAGGTAGAACTCCCACCCACCAATTCTATTCCCTCCTTCGGGAAAATGGAAACCAGGGAGCCTGGTGAATCTCCCGCTCCCCCCCGCAGAAGTAGGGGGGTGTATAATTCCCTCCCCTCAGTAGAGGGAGCGCGCGAGTTTCTATAACTCGACACGAGTCCCTTCACCCACGGCCTACCGGCCCCTTCCAGGTCTTTCAGCGCGAGTTGCTGATCTTGCCTGTTGTGGCCTGGACCTCCGCATAGCTCAAAGACCGCCATCATGGCCTTGGCGGACTCCAGGTATATGGGGTCCTCAGGCCCATACCCCTGGGTCCATCGGACGATCGACGCCGCCTCCTCTATGACATTCTCTCCAGGCATGTCATATTGGACGGATTCGTCCCACCTCTCGTCCTTTTGGAGGATGGACATGGCAGTGGCAATGCGCCCCCTGCCCTCCTCCCCTCCCTGGCCAAGGTGTTTTTCTAAAAACACGGCCACCCAGCTGCTGAACCACATGTAATCCACCAGGGGAATACGACCCACTTGGCGGCTATGGCTCAGCACAGCGTCAGCTAAGACGCTGTTGATCCCACTGATAATAGAATCTGCTACAAGACTCGGGAACAATCCTGCAACAGGCCCTTCGCTAGATAACGACGCAGTGGGGGCAGGGACAATACCCCCCTCCGCGCCGGCAACTGGACATCCGAGACCTTGTTGCTGTACGTTTCCTTTGTTTTCTGACATGTCAGACCATCAAGTGTAATTTGTTGACAGAGTTTTCTTTTCCGGGTTTTTTATCGTGGTTTTCCTTCCACTAGGACGGTTGTCGACCAAGACTAACAAGCCCGTCCTTTCCGGGTCTTTTTATAGAGGTTTTACCCTCGCGGCCCGTGCAAGCACAATGCTTGCACCGGCCCCCGGCCCCAAACTTGGGGTTACGATATGAGACGCTACGCCCCCCCTCGTGACAATGGTGGGCTGACCGTTATGCCGGAACACCGGCGTGCTAACGAGGCTGGTCAGGTCCCCGGGTTTTTCTCGAGTTTTGCTTCTCTATTCCGGTGGAGTGAATAACACTCCTAACGGATCCGGGCATCTGGGCGATTGAAGTCAGGGCCGCCAACCCCTACCGGCTAATCGGGACATGTCTCTTGAGGGGTAGCCGGACCCCCGTTCCCTCCTAAGAAGGAACTGTGCGCTCTTAGCACCGCAGAAACACCTTTTCAGGTATTCCCACGGTGAGCCCTCTCACCACGACAAGGTGGCGCACAACGAGAGGGAACCTAACCTTTTTTTTTTTTTTTTTGGTTAAAGCGGAGGAAATTCATTATGGATACCCTCGGGTTCTCCCCCGAGACCCGAGGGTTATGTGGGAGTCCCCAGGGAAGGTGTCCCTGAGTATACCCACTAAAACCCCCGCCGGTAACCGTTCTAACCCCTGTTGAGGGGGGGTGAGGCATCGCCAGCGGCATTCATCTCACCCCCCTTTGGGTTTGACCGTAGCTCGGTCTCATCCCGGGGGAGAAGAGATTTTTAACTTCTCTTCTCCCCCTCTATTCTGTCTCTTATAATGGGGAAAACTGGGCTACCTCAGTCTCCCCCCGCCCTCCCTGGTTTATGTATGGAAGGCCGGGACCACCGTGAGCCCCCGCTTGCGGTTGGCCCCCGCTGGGAAGAGGGAGAACCCTTCCCCCAGCATCTCTATGTATGTGGGGGGTATCCCCACCCCCCACATCGGAGTATGAAATCCCCAGGGGTCCCTCAAATTTGATGGTAGTGGTGGCAATTTTCTTTTGCCACCTTCTGAGGGACCCCTACTCACGTCAGTCCCTACGTGGAGCTGGTAAACGGCGACGGGGGATTAATCTCCTCCGTTGCATTGCTGTCGGGGGAGCACCTCCGCCGCCGTTGCCTCCCGTTCTCCTCCGCGAAGGGGGAGAGAGATGGGGAGGATGGTGGAGTGCTGTCCACCTCCTCCGCCTCCCCCCTTCTGATTCTTTCCACCTCCTCTTTCTGCAGCATTACGGCGCTGCAGAAATCGGAGGCGGCCCTCCACTTCTCCTCTCCCTCCAACATTGCTTGAATTAATGCCGGAAGGGAGAGGTCCTCTCCCACCACTGCGGTCAGGGCTCGGCGCTCCCCCGTCCAGGCCTCGCACTCTGCGAGTGTATGCTGCGCCGAGTCCCGACCGGCCGCACAGTGGTAGCATCTCGTCGTATGCTCTTTGCCTATCCTGCACAGATAGTCACCGAAGCAACCGTGCCCGGTGAGCACTTGTGTCAGGTGGAACTCAAGTCCTTGTCCTCGCCTGTCTACCCATTCCGGCAGGCAGGGCTGGATGACGTGGGTGGTCCATCTGCCCGTCGCAGAATCCGCAATGGCCTCCTGCCATTGGGATATAGCTCTGCGATGGGCATTCTTCCTAATTTTGTCCACGGCCCCTGGTCTTAGACGGGCACTCCCGGTTCGGTCAGGGTCTCTCGTACGCCGATATACCTCGGCGTACGAGTTTGCCAAGAACTCGACCGGGAGGAGGCCCGCCAGGGCCGTGGCCGCCACAAACGACGTCGTGCAGTAGGACCGAATGATCCTAGAGGCCAGCCGGCGCTGTTGGCAATAAACCATCGCTTGAATGCGCCGACTGGCCAGGACTTTATCGGCCCATACCGGTGCCCCGTAAAGTGACACCGACTGCACGACGTTGGCGTACAGACGCCGAACTCTTACGTTCGGCCCACCCACGTTGGGCAGGAGACGGCCTAGCGCAGCCGCCATCCTGTCCGCTTTGGGGATGATTTGTACAAAGTGCTGTTCAAATCCCCAAAGCCCATCCAGAGTGAGGCCCAGATACTTCATCTGAGTCCCCACTAGGACTCGGACTTTCCCCACCCACATTTGGATTGGGGGAGGACGCCCCATGGCCCTGTTGTAAAAAATACAGGGCCTTCGTCTTCTGCGGGGCGACCTCCAGTCCCATGGCTCTAATAGAGCATACGACCGCTCGGGTTGCGGCATTAGCCGCGTCCCGAGCCTCAACCCAAGTCTTCCCCCGGGCCACCACCAGTGTGTCGTCTGCATAGCATAGCAGGCGACAGCCTAGGGGAAGCGCCGTGCGGAGCACTCTGTCGTACGCAAGGTTCCACAGAAGGGGGCCTAAAACTGACCCTGTGGAACCCCGCAGTACATAGGCCTTCTGCTTATCCGCTCCAGCTGATCTTGGTACTGGAGCGTCCTGCCGCGGAAGTAGTCCCAGACTACATCTCTTAGATATTGGGGGAGGCCATGATGCTCCATGGCCACCCCACCCAATCCCAGGGGAGGAAGTTAAACGCGTTGACAATGTCTAACGACACTGCCAACGCCACCTCTCCCTCCCCTACAATTTGGTCCGAGAGGGCCCTCAGATGCAAGATTGCATCTGTAGTAGAGCGACCCTCCCGGAATCCAAACTGTCCTTCACTAAGGTCGGGACCGTCCCGCGACAAGTGCTGGACGATTCGGCCAGCAATTATTCTTTCGAACAGCTTGCTGACCTCGTCCAGCAGGCAAATCGGCCTATAAGCAGAAGGCTGCTCCGCCGGCTTCCCCTCTTTGTGAATCAGGGCCAAATTGGCCCTTTTCCACGCCGAGGAAAAGGTGCCCGTCCTGAGGCAGGTGTTATATAACCTCCTCAGGCGGGCGCCTACTCCGCCAAATACCAAGGCCCAGATTCGGCCAGAGATCCCATCAGGACCGGGGGCCTTGCCAGCCGCCCCCAGTCTTTTTGCAACCTCGGATAGCTCCCTTCCTGAGATCTTCAGGTTACCGGTCCAGGGGGGAAGGTCCCTCCTCGTCGGGATGTTTACATCTCTTTCTGGGAAAAGGGTCTCCACCACCTAGCCGAGGAACCTCGGATCGAGCGTCTCCGAGATGAAGGGCGCCGCCGGTCTTAGCCTGTTCAGGACTATCCGGTACGGACGCCCCCATGGATCCCAACGCCCCCATTGGTCCCTGCCACATCCTCCTACCCTCTGCCTTGATGCGCTTCACTGCATCCTTATCTGTCGCTGCGACTCTAGTTTCTCCTATCTCGGTGTCCCTAACTCTTCTTATGTCGTATCTAGCCCTGCCTTCCTGGAGAAGGATTTCGACAGGGGTCGCACCGGCGACAACGCACAATGATTCCCGCGACGACGTTCTATACGCGCCTACCACCGGAATAAGCGCTTTACGCTGTATACTTTTTAATTTCCTAATATCGCGCTCCGTACAGAGATCTGCCCATCCCGCTGCGGCATACGCTACAGTCGGGGCAAACACTCCCCCTGTAAATAGTCGAGAGCGCCCTATACTTCAGACCCCATGTTGATCTAGCTAGTTTTCCCAATCTCGCGAATAGTGACTCTACTTTACTTTTTAAATACTCACAATGAGACTCTACTTTCATAGCTTTGTCAAAATGGACACCGAGATATCTAACGGAATTTTTGAATTTAATGCTTTTGTTTTCTATCTTTATCGTTGGGGGTCTTCCTGCTAAATCTGTTTTCTTTGTGTTCGTTTTTTTTTTCCTATCTGGTCGGTCTCCTCCCTTTCTATCAATAAATGCTCTATGTACGTCTTCACTTTTTAAAACTATTGCTTCCGTTTTCTTTTCTGAAATTTCTAATTTCGCAGACTTGCACCAACTTACGATCCTATCAACGATTCTTTGACCCTCCATTTCTAATTCTCTTCGCGAATTTCCTCTTACTACCGTTATTAAATCGTCCGCGTAAGCTGTGTATTGTCCCGGAGCTATTTCTTCTAATTCTCTAAGTAGACCGTCGAACATAACATTCCAGCAGATGAGACCGAGAACGGAGCCCTGCGGGCACACCCTCGTTGCCTGCTGCTGCACGGGAAACTTTCCCGTGCCC